AATTTTCTCAGTACTCAACTTTTAATCACAGTACATCCTCTAATCTAAGTACAAATCAATTTGTAATCCAAGTACAATATAGCCTCTAATCTCAGTACATCTACATCTCAACTTCTAATCACAGTACAATATAACCTCTAATCTTAGTACAATTTAACTTCACAGTACTATATAGCCTCTAATCTCAGTACATCTCAACTTCCAACAAAGGCAAGGTACAATAAAACCTCTAATCTCAGAATAAATCAACTACTAATCACAGTACAATAAAACCTCTAATCTCATTGCGATTCAACTTGTAATCACAGTACAACATAGCTTCTTATCTGTGTACAGTTTGGCCTCTAATTATGGTACAATTTTGCATTTAATCACAACACAATTTGGCCACTATTGCAGTACAACTTGAATCTAATAGCAGTGTAATGTGGCATCTAATCTTGGTAGATTTGACTTTTAATCACAGTACAAGTCTACTCTAATCGCGGTACAATCTGACCTCCAATCATCACACATTGTAGCCTGTAATCACTATATAATGTGACCTTTAATCATGATTTGACTCAGCCTTTGGTAATAGTACAGTTAGGCTTCTAATCAAAGTATAATTTGGCTCCCAATCCCAATAAAACTCTACCTCTTATAATGATATTATTCAACTTCTAATCATAGTATAATTTGACCTTAATCTCAGTATGATTTGGCCTATAGATGCAATTGGATTTGACTTATAATAACGGCCCAATTTGACCATTGGTACAGTTTGAATGTAATCACAACTTAATTAAATCAACATCTAATCTAATAATTCTAACAATTTGGTATTTAATAGCAAGGGGATTCCTCCTTTAATTGTGATACAATTCAGCATTTATTCAGTTGATCAGCTTCATCTATTTAAATCAACTGTTATATTATTGCACACAAATAGTTTCTGCCGTGCTCTTCAAAAAAATGTTTTTTTTTTAACTTTTCAACACAAACTTTTGGTTGAGTCACTGCGAGGCCTTCACACAGAGGAGTCCCTTTAATAATCCAAAACACCAATAAATTTAATCTTTAAAAATTGCGTAAATGGGCCTACTTTAATAACTTTGTTTTGAGATTTGTTTTAAAATCTGTAAAAATGTATGTAAAGCATCTTAAATGTCACATTTTGTTTGTTTCGCACACTGTTTTCATTCTTCAGTAGATTGTAACTGGAGTTCTGCAGACTCAGCTTCACCAGTTTAAAGCTAATTCAGTCTGATCGGACATGAAATCCCAACCGTACGCAGACGGAGGAAAAAGAAATCCTTCTTGTCATTATGTGTGTGTTAGCAGCTGATCCGTCCTTTAATGAGAAGCCACAGGAAAGGGGACTAGTCATTAGTATTATCTCCCTGTGACAGTGAAGGACACAGCAGGCAGTGGATCTCTTGTTTCTACTGTCTACCTCCACCTCTGTCCTTGGGTTTCGCCACCCTCTGCTCACCTTCTGTCACCTCAGCAAGTCTCCACAAGAAGAGCTGTGGATATATTTAGTCATTAAGAGGGACGATTTTGCCACAAAGACAACAATTTAGTTGTCATCTTGTCAAAAAGAAAACACACTGCCCTTCTTTAAATGATCCTCTTCCACCAATAGCTGCTATTTATCTTGTTTTTTTTTATTCTTTACTCTTCGAGCTCTGATGCAAACACAATCTGTCAGGCAGCTGAGGAGCCAGGAAAACAATACTTCACAAATAGCGGTAAGATGTCCAGAAAGGATGAAGGTTATGCAATGCAGGGGGAAAAATGTAATCAGGAACACGACCTGAAGAAAACACTGAGGAGGAGAAAGGTCAGTGAACTCTGCAGTACAAAAATAAAAATTAAAAAAGAGAAGGGTTTGGAGAGCCTTCTAATCCTCTGTGACAGATTTTCCTTTTTTTTTTTAAACAACAACACGAACACGGTGAGCAACGTGAGTTCAGGATTTGGCTCCAGGATATTTTGCCACGGATGTTAAAATTAGCAACTGACCGCCTGAGACGAAGCTCAGAAAGAAAGAAACGTCCCGTTTCGGCAACCTTTCCCCTCACTGAGAGGGGTGATTTCTATATTCAAATATTTGTACCTTTTTCAAACGTGCTCACTGTTCGCAATATTTATGGGAATCCAGTGTTTCCTCTACTTTAACACGAGGAGGGCACCCTGCCCTGTCCACAGAACGCCTGCCTATCAAAGAGCTGTTACTTCCAGACTGTAGCAACAGGATAACCAGCTTTATTGTGCTCTGCTTCCACCACCCTGCCCTCTGTCTTATCTCCTGATGGATTCGTTAAAATCTGTCCAGCGTTTCATGAGATATTTTGCTAACAGAGCCTTTGAGGGCAGATGATAATTAGCGACATATTGTACTCACCACTGATCCACTTGACCTCAGGGTCATGAGTGCTGAACTCGAGTTTGTACAGATCTTCCACAGTCAGTCTGGACTTGCTGCTTTCAGGAAGCTCAGCTGTTTAAAAAAAACAAAGGAGATGTATTAGCTAAATCAAAACTCAAAGTTGAAAATAGCTAAACTGTAGCTAAAAGCTAAAATTAGCAAAACCTTCACTAAAGGTTCAAATGAGCTAAACTGTAGCTAAAAGTTAAATGAATCATAAAAAGACAAAAATGAAGCAAGTTTGCTGAAGCATATTTTAAAGAGAACAAAGTTCTTTTGCAGAACTGAGATCTCATGTATTTCTAAGGAGAACATTTTGTAAATAAAGTAAATAAATAAAAGAAATATAAAAGTAGAAACCAAACGTCACAGCACGCTAATCCTGTTCAAGATGAATGTTTTGATTTGCTCAAGATTAAAAATCTATTTATTACCAATTCACTGCATGTCAACTCTATTCAGGGGATATTTCTCCTCTTTTATAAAAGTAATTCAAAGGTTTAAAATGTAACTCTGAAAACAGCTGTTATACAGACAATGCTATACAATAAAATGAGGTTAATGCATATAAATACATTATCTGTCACTAAAAATAGATAAAAGAGCAGATTAGTACTTTGATCAGTAACAGGTGGTGCAAATAGTAATTCTTTGTATGATTGTGGACACATTTGTACTCAACGGGCCTCATGCAAGAACCGTTCGTACGCACAGATTTGTTCTTAAGTTGTGCGTACGAGTGATTTAGGAGAATTTGTGGCATTCACCAA